GCGAACATAACAGATATATTTTAAAAAGAGTGGCGCGTTTCCCGGGAGATGAGGCAAAATTCGGAACTTTTGCAAACGTTAGAGAAACACTCAGCAGACATACAAACGCAATTAGGAATATAGTAATGTTATGTAGGTGGTTAAGAGAAATGTGAAGCTTGTTGCATTTCTGTAGGCCCACTCTTTGTTCCACACTGGTGAGACACCTGTCTCTTTTGAATTTATTACACCTCAAGGGTCGTTTTCACTTCTCTCATACTATAATGCTATAGTTTTCAATTATTCATAAGCAGCCACTTGTTTTACAAAACAAATTTCCACCTCTGGACGACAGTCCAAGAGCAACTTGAAAAAGAAGATTAAGGGAAATGTGCATGAATGCGGGTTGAATGAGAACCTTCGAAAATAGAGGAACAAAAGAAGTTACAAATTTAGTTATACTCGGTCAACTAATAGAAAATTAAAACTTAATCACATGCAAGAATAATTTAAGTAGGAAAAAAATTAAAACCGTCTTAGTCATGAGCCCATGAAAAGCAAATACTAAAATACTCTTGTTTTGTGTTTGTCTTGTATAAAGTTATTACAAAAACAAAATGACAAAATGAAAAGACAAAGGGAAAATTATTATCAAAACAAACACGATTCATGAGTTACAACAAGTGAAAGTTCTGGTAAACATCTATTAAAAGACTTGGCTCAAATCTAGACCAACCACACAAGAACTTCAAATTGGAATGGGAAAATGACAGGACGTTAGTTTGCTACTATTAAACAATAACCAGTATAAGAAGTAGGACAGAATTGGAAGTACCACATTTTGCAGCCTTTGTAAGTTAGTATCAATGGGTCCTAAGCCCTCATCTGAACTGTATCCCATGAGTCAGAATGTGGTTACGACCCCGCACTACAGCATTCTCACTCAGAGTATGGCTACGGTCTAAAAGCAGATTGTCAAACTGTTCAAGAAACCTACCTCTTCAAAATAGCTAACCCTCATTTAGAGCACAGCTACTGTGCCAAACTATATGGTCTGGATTTTGGATCTGGGCTTCTGTCCAAAAACTATGTACACAGTACTAATTTGAAGGGAGGAAAAGAGGAGGAACTGTCTAGTACTTCATTTCAGTTGTTTAGAACGAACTGCAAAGGCATCTTAGAGAGGTGAGTTCCTTACCAAGCTTTAAAAGACAGTAAAAACATAGTTTGCTTAGGAATTATGAAAGTAGTTGGGGGTTTTTTAGGTTAGTGTTTTACGGCGTTTGCAACTGCATAAATTCTTATGAGACCGCAGGACATATCAAACATTTTCAGTCGGTAAGAAATTTTGAATTTTGCTCAGGTGGCAGTCGAAGCCTACTCTTATCAATTTTAGGACCACCAAGGGATCTTATGATCTTTAACGTGTGCAACTTGCACGCGGGACATCCGAGATTTTTCACCCTTGTCTGAGAACACTAGGTGTAGATCCTACCTACCATAAAATCAGGAGTGTGGCTGAAAGACAGCAGTAAGAAGGAGCCAAGGAGAAGCTGCAGTAGAAAGGCTGCAGAAAAAGTCAGGAACCCAGAGGAGGGGGCAAAGGAGGTGAAGGGGTGGGGGCAGAAAGTGGAGACGAAAGCAGATGGCAGAACATGATGGCAAGAGAGCAGAAAAAGAGGTGAAAGGAGACAATATTTTGAGAGAAGAAAATTGTTCCATCGCTACCTGATTCAAACCCAGGACCTTTGAATGAGAGGTGAACACCTTAACCTCTAGGCAACGGGAACCCTCCTTATGTAAGTATACTCCAAATTCCAGGCAAAGATGAACAAGTGCATGCATATATTATGATATAATTTATATACAATGTAAAACAATATTGTACACTGAACACTCAGAGAGATGAAATACGATATTTAAGTGCAATCCATCATCTATACACAATAAATATAATTCCGGTGGCCTGATCTTTGTGTCACTTTTTAGAAGAAAACACACCCTTCCGACCCAATATTAATTAAAGGTAGAATTCAATATTCCTAAGAACATGACAGAGCTAGATTTTCATGATTTTAAACTGAAGAATTTATGAAACTGTATTTTTCAGTAGCTATGTATTGTATAAATATTCCAGAATTGATCCATTACTTTCCATTTTCAATTTTTGAAAATGTGAGCATCAACTGTCAACACCAAAACTTGCATGAAAAAAAGCAATTTATGGGAATCCCCAAAGCATATAATTTGTTATTTTTGTTGGAGGGGGGGTTGTTTTCTCTGTGTGTGTGCGCGTGTGTGTGTGTGAGTGTGTGTGTGTGTGTGTTGTAGGGATGAGGGTTTGGCAGTGGCTGTGAGATGTCAAATGTAGCTATACATGTCGATGACACAACCAGGTGGTTATACTGTACACAGGAGAAAGTTTTTACATGCCTTTATTTTTCAAGTGAAACCTATTTAATTTTTCTCAAACATTTTAAATTCACGATTTGAGTTACCCAGTGAAAGGTATGCATTTTTGGGAAGATTGAAGAATACCGGACCACTCGTACATTATTGCGCAAGAAAGTGGGGTTGGTGGGGTGGGTGGTTGGGGTGGAGGAGGGGGGTAAATAATTTACCTTTTTTCCCTTTTTACTTCCCTTTCAAAAAGGCATAGTTGCCTCAAAATTAAATAACATGAATTGAGCTGAGTTTTTAAAAACAGAAATGCTGAAAAACAATGCGGGAAAACTACAGTTTCCGAGAGGAAAAAAAAGAACAGCCGCGACTTGTAAAATTACCGACACCCTGCCATATACTTAAATTTTAATGAATAGATCTACCTGTCCGAGATTCTCCATTGAGAGATATTAAAAACGGGAAAATTATGAATTCCTAAGGTTGAGACATAGATCTAGGCTAAGGCTAAGTCAGTCCGCTGGTCCGGTATTCTTCAATCTTACCGCATTTTTAAATGTAGTCAAGCAAGCCCCTTTTAATAATGGCACATAGGGCCTAGACGGGTGAAAATTTTTAAGGTGTGACAAGAGTGGAGAGAAACACATGGAAGATGGACGCACAAAGACAGAGTAAGGTGGAAACAGGGCCGTGAAGACAAAATAGAAAAAGTCAATAAGACAAACGCTAGAGAGGAAGGTAGAATCTAGGATACATTTTTACTTTCACTCCTGCACACAGATGCTCTGCTTTGAGGGTCAAACTGCCTTATATTTTTTTGCTGCAGATCACACACATGAAGCCACTAAAACTGTTGCAAATCAATTATTTTCAAGAAAATACGAAACCTAACTAGAATCTAGATCTAGATCTAGATTCTAACTGCAAAACATCAAATCATGGGTTAACTTGGCAAAGTAGCAGAGAAGTTACAGAGCTTTGCCTTTGCTTTACTATTACTAATAATACTTGCGTTAAATGACGAAGGCCTCTAGGCTAAATTCTAATAAGCTGCAACATTGAAATTCATACAGCCAGCACTACAAGAAAAGTGTTGTGTTTAAGAGTATTTTAACAATGAACAGCTGAACTAGATCTAAATCTATAACTAGATTTCTAGTCTAGATCTAGATTAGATTTAGATCTATAAGAAAGAAGTTAATTCGTTGCTCTTTCCCGACCCAACCGTGTGTACTGTACTACTGCTGTCTGCTGTGTACATTTTACTAACGAAACTGTAGATTCTATGCCTCTGTGCATGCAACGCATGCCTGAAAGTGCAACACATACAAGGCAAGACAATTGGGATTTATTAATAACAGGTTTACACAATGAAAACAAAAAACATCAATGTTGTCAATACTTACATTCATCTCTCGCTTGCACTTGGTTTTGAAAAGGGACAGTTGCAATGCAACGTAGGCCTAAAGCCCCTCGACGAAGGCGTTTTAGCAACGTGCCAGGAAAGTAGTAGAAATGTTGGGCAACAGGTAAAAAGAAAAACCAGCGACTTCATTACCAGTAAATAATTAACCTTTTTTCCCTTTTTACTTCCCTTTCAAAAAGGCATAGTTGCCTCTAAATTAAATAACATGAATTGAGCTGAGTTTTTAAAAACAAAAATGCTGAAAAACTATACGGGAAAACTACAGTTTCCGAGAGGAAAAAAAAAGAACAGCCGCGACTTGTAAATTTACCGACACCCTGCCATATATACTTAAAAACAAAGTACAAAGGTTATAGGCCCCATGTGTCAGTTCAGAGGTGAAAGGTCGGAAGAATCATCTTGACCAAAGATCGTTCATAACAAGATAGTTCACTCCTCTCTTTGAGCCAATTAAAAAAAGTGTCCTCAAAATTCGGTGGCACCCTCTTGCGAACGGAGTTGCACTATAATTGTGTGAAAAACAATAAAAGTGAATCGAAACTGAACAACCTTGTTATGTACGATCATTGTCTTGACAAGGCCTAGAAATTTTATATTCGAATATCCTTTGGATTATTAGGCCTATTGTTTTCACTTGTGAGATCTTTGGGGAAATAAAGATTTACATGTTGTTTTAATTTTCTTTTTTTTCTGCAAAGGGTGATGACTAATTAATAACAACGTTTTTGTGTTTGAAACAGTAGCTTCAGTTATATTTTTTTCATTCTAATACTACTAGCCTTAGAAGTTTCCGTGCATGTCATTGTTTTCCTGACTGAGAATGCATGTGAACACAAATAACAACAAAAATCTATAGGATGTTTCAATTTTTTTTTACTGGCCGTCAAAGTGGGTTAAGTAGAAACTTACGACTGGGTGAATTTTACTACATGTATATTTAGAGGCAAGCGGGTTCAACCCTAGTTGACCTATTTTATTGTACCATATATATGAGGTTACTGAGAAAAGCCAAATTTAGCATCTATTAGTATTAGGACTGGGGGCTCTGCTGTCTCTAGGCTTTTCTAATCTAAGTGAGTATTTTTTTTTCCATATTATTCAGATTCAATAATGTCATCATCAATAGGCCTCTATAGAATACACCATTATCACATAATCATCATCATCGTCTCGCGAGAGTCTTGAAAGATTTACAGACAAAAAATATATATAAATTGCACAAAATATGTTTTATATTTTGTTTATTAAATCGGCTCGAAGCTTCGCCACGTGCTTCCTCGGGAGCAACTGAGAGTGAGGCTAATGTATATACGTAACGCTGTATCAAGGAATGGGAACTGACAAAGATAAGGTCTTAAGTTAGGTTACATATAGACCTATACATGTATACGAGGGCCTATTGAAATAATGAGAAGGATGAAAAACCAGAACTACCAATGTCTGCTTCAGACTTTACGTAGGCCTATATGTAGCCTACGTATGTACATGTATGTAGATGTATGTACGTAAGTATGTGCGTACACGTATGTTTTGTGTGTATAATATTTGTTGTTATTTATTATGTTATTCATAGTCGGTTGGTAAGTTAACACCCAACCGGGCCCCATCGGAAACTTTCTACAGTGTCAGTCTTCATGCTTTTCCCGTCCCAACAGGCTGGTTTTATTATTGTTTTGGTATTGAATTATTGAGTCTAGTTATAAAGTCTCAAAATACGATTAAGGCGATTAAGCGTTTCGTTATTGTAAACACTAGTACTGAGGCAGTGTGTGTGTGTGTGTGTGTGTGCCCAGCCAGCATGAATGTGTCGGCTAGACATCTTTCTGACCTCGGACAAAACCTCGGGCCGAGCTCAGAAACAGGATCCTTGGCCGATGTCGATTGGCGGGCCGCTTTGTAAACGATGTTGTCCCGATCTCATTTGCTACACGGATCCACATAGGCCTGACATCGCACACTACAGTCGGGCCGATGACGGATACCGCCCAGAGGTCGTTGCCCGACACCAATTTGATGTATATATAATGTAAAATTCATATTTCCACCGTTGTCCAATGACAAACTGCTGTCGAAACGATGTCGGATTTTATAGACAAAGTTTTCCAACGTCAACCCGACGTCTAAACAACGATTATCATCAATTTCCAATGTCATATCGACATTGTCACGCCATTGAGTTTTTAAATCATCATTCTTTTCCGATGGCAATTCTGCGTCAAAACGATGGCGGGTTTAAATCTCCATTGGTTACTGGTGGGATTTTTATAGCAATGGTTTTTCAGATGGCAGTATGACGTAGAAATGATGTTGAATGTTGTTGCCATAGAGTTTCCAATGGCAGTCCGACGTCGAAGTGATGTCGTGTTTCATTACCATTCCCCCCCCCCTCCACCGTTCACGCCCCCATCCTTCACTTTAACCTCTATACGAGGTCTGATTTTAGCCCACGTCCTCCCGGGACTGTTGCCCAATCATGTCCCGATTCTAAATTCTGAATCCCAGCTATGGTTCGATCCTAAAAAATAATTCCTGGCAGATGATTCTCTTGTCAAAGAAAGATGAAATCATATGTCTTTAAAGATCAAATCCTGGCGCTGACCAAACCTTGTGTAACATAAAGCACGTTAGCAGCCAACTGAAACTTCCTCTTTAAAGTTACAAGAAGCTTAAGCGTTGTAAATGTACTTGAGCAATCCATAAAAATAAGATATCAATACATGTAAACTGGTCCCTGATGATAGAATCGTTGAATGATAAGTACGGAACCATAGTAACTATGATAGTCAAAGATTGAATTTGAATAAAAAGTTATGAGAAGAGAATCAGATTAAGTCATTGGAAAGGGGGTGGGGTGGGGGG